CAAAACAAAACTTAGTTGCTTAATGTTTTAATCCAGACCAGACCAGACAATCCAGTGATCAACAGCATGAGCATCGATCTGCGCCATAAGGAACTGATGACATGTGTCAACTAAGTCAGCGAGCCCGACCACCCGATCCCGTTAGTTGCCATATGATGGAGAGGGCTAAATGACAAGCACATCATATACAGTGGAAGCTGTCTAAACTTGCACTCGTCGGGACTGAAGAAATAATCTGGTTGAGACAGCGTGCCGGATTGTAGAGCTGACATGGTTACCTATGACTGGAACTAAACTAGTTTTGTCACTCTCATATACATTGTTGTATCACATGGTTCTCTCAATTACTGCACACATTGACTCACCTCACTAATTACATGTACAAGTATACCATACTGAACTAAGATCAAATTATCTTTGTCGACCAACTGGACACAACCCCAACACCCTCATCAAATGTGCCAACCGTGTCCCCGATTCATGAACAGAACATCTATCAATTTGCATAATCATCCAAAACAAAAGCTAGAAAAGAATTCGTCACAAAATGTTTACACCTTACAAAACTGCATTTGGGTTACTATTCGGAAAACAGATTCAAATGGTCCATTTTTTTATCCATTAGACATTTTTTCCACTCACGAAAAACAATTTTCAGATATTTCATTTATTTCAGATTATTAAGTCAGTGTCAAAAGTATTTAAAAAATGCAAAAAAATTAATTTGTTTTTTAGAAATAATAAGATATGTGTTATGTCAGTCAGACAGAACAGAAAAGAAATGTTTTAAAGGATAAAAACACAAAGGATTATGTTCCATATGGACCTGTTTTGAAGTTGTTTTGCTGGGCAAAGAAAATGTTCACAAATTTATAACAATATTCTCCATTTGCGAAATTTGGGGTCAGCAGATCTGTAATCTAAAAAGTTGCCTTATCTCTCCTGTTTGACTATGGCTAAAGGGAAAAGAATGTTATTGCTTGTCATTTGCTTTGTCAGTTTTGGCCAAACTTAACATTAGTCTTTATAAACATGAACAAAATATATATGTACCCTTCCCTTGACAGACTGTCTTAGTGTTCAATTTTGTTACGAGATGCTGTTATCAAATCATCCTCATGTTCCCTTGACAGACTGTATTAGTGTTCAATTTTGTTACGAGATGCTGTTATCAAATCATCCTCATGTTCAGACCCCATTAGGCTACTGCAACAAAACAACATTGATCTCATTGTCTATCTGAAAAATATGTTACTGCTTCCTGTGAAGGTCCAGTAACGAGCACAAGTAAAATTATTAATTACTTATGTAATCTTATCCACTACATTGTCAGAACATGATCGGACATTATCTCAAGATGGTGATACAGTACAACCAGAAATTATTGAGAATTGAAAGATTGTAAATTGTTTATTTTTTTCACTCATTACTCACGTATTAAATGTGAATATTAGCAGAACATAACTCCAGATTCAAAGACAGGTGAACAGTTAGTATTTTGTCAAGTCACCATGGGCAGCAATGCAGGCTTCAATGCGTCGGGGCATACTACTGATCAAAGAAGTTAGAAAGTCGTGGTCCATGCTGTTCCAATATCAGACCACCTCTTCTTTCATTTCAGCAATATTTATCAGATTTTTCTTATTGACACTTTCCTTCATAAGTCCCCAAACATTTTCTATTGGATTTAGGTCAAGACTATAGCTTGGCCAATCTAATAATGTCATATTTTATTCACCAGGCCTGTGAATGCTTTGAATGATGTTTTGGGTCGTTGTCCTGCTGGAAAATTCAAAAATTTCCATAAAACACGTGAGCAGATGGAAGTAAATGTCCCTCGAGAATATCTGTGTACCGCTCACTGTTCATATTCCCTTCAAATACACAGAGGGGCATTGACCCTAACACAGATATGCCACCCCACACGTTAAATTTCGGACTGTACTTTGGGCGCTGATACAAAGGTTTTTCAGTTTGTTTGGTCCAGATTTTCAGTGTATTAGGAAACAGCCACACAGAACTTTCATCTGAGAAAATCACATTGTCCCAGTTAAAATTTCTATGCTGTAAGCACCAGTTCAACCTTCGCTCCTTTTGTTCAGGTTTCATGATCGGTGATGGAATTCCTCGACTTTTCTGCCAACCCATTGCATGCAGCTCAGTTCTAGATAATTGTCTCCGTACAGACAGCCACAGTTCCTCTATCAATCATATCCAGCCTTAAGTTTTCTCAACTCCTTCGTTGGTTTTTAGAAACAAGAATACCAAGCCGCCTCCTGTCACCGACAGTCAGTTTCCTGGGCCTACCTGCACCTCCCTGGTGCTCAGTGCCATATTCAATTGCAATATTTTTCAAAACACGATAAACAGTGGACAAAGGGATGCCTGTTCTACTTGAAATCACTTTAGCTGATCTGATGTCCTTGATATAATACTCTAAAATCAACTTCCTCTTCTCTAAATCATCCATACTGAGGATCACTGAAAATGTCGTCTGCTAGCAAGTAAACAAAGGGGGATAACTCTTCACAAACTAATGAAAAAGGATTAACAGAGTTGTCTCTCTTGAATGAAACCAAGCACTTGATAGCTGGTCAAGGTTGTTTATACTAGAAATCAATTAAACATATTCCTAAAATTCTCAATAATTTCTGGTCATACTATATTTATATGCTGGAAACTACCCTATAGCAAAATGGCAGCTCAGATGTCCAAAGACTCTCAGGAGACAAAAGTTGGCAGTAGGTTTTATTGAACCGTTCTTCTGATCAGGAGCTGTGGAAGCTGATGACACAGTTCTCCGTGATTGGCATCGGAGACTTTCATGTGCGTGTAAACATGGCATATATCGTGGACAGCTTGCTCACTGCATAACTCAAGACAGCCGACTAATTTCAATAAAAATTCTCCCGAAACCACAATTTTTCATGTTGTCATGTGTCCATATCTCTTTAAAGGATCAAATTGTTTCACGAGTGATACACAGAAATAAGCCGTCTTTCTCCTCGCCGTAAACAAGGACAAAGACAGTTTCCGTCACTTAAGTTACTTTTTTGCAGAAGAATAAAGATTTTGAGCGTCACTGATGTTTTGATTTGACGATTGAGATGAAACTGTGCATTGAAATACAGTGTCAAGAAATGGTTACTGAAAGGACTATTTTGTCTAGATGCAGTGAGATTAATCAACAAAAATGTAATTGGAATATTAAGACTGAGAGCTGTTTGATTTCACAGTCAGCAATGTCTCAGATATGACATGCCAACCTGCGTGTTGTGGTGGAGCTTGGGCTGGTAACCAAGTGACTGATAGTATGAGCAACGCTTTAAGTGAGTGAGGTTAGTTTTATGCTGCTTTTAGCAATATTCCAGCAACATCACAGTGGAGGACACCAGAAATGAGCTTCACACAGTATGCCCATGTCAGTATCGAACCCAGGTCTTCAGCATGATGAGCAAACACTTTAACCACTTGGCTACCCCACTGCCCCTCAACAATTTAAGACATAGGCAGACTGTGACATGGATATTGTGACGATTTAGTTAGCTCTAATAACACACACAGAGTAGTGGACCATTTGTTGCCCTGAAAACCCCACTGGGACAGCTGGGTATGATTCCCATTGACAGACCGCAGCGGGTGCAGTGAGTCAATATTCCACCAACAAGAGTGAGTGAGTGAGTTTGGTTTTACGCCGCTTTTAGCAATATTCCAGCAATGGGGGACACCAGAAATCGGCTTCACACATTGTACCCATGTGGGGAATCAAACCTGGGTCTTAGGCGTAACGAGGGAAAGCTTTAACCACTAGGCTACCACACCATCCCCACCCACCAACAGGATAATATATGACACTTGTTTGAAATTACACCATATATACAACATGTAAACAATTTGAAATGTAACCACTTTCATTCGAACTGACGTCCAAGTACAAAGAACAACCAATCAAAATGTTTTGCTAAGTCTCAAGAACAATAAAAAAAGCGAAACATAGTCAGGTTGCCATGGCTACAGAACAAAATGGTGGTTGGCATCTGATGCCAATGTATGTTCTCATGGCTGTTGTGTGATAGTTTTGACCATACAAACAGTGAGTGAGTTTAGTTTACGCCGCTTTTAAAAATATTCCAGCAATATCATGGTGCCATAAAAAGAGACAATAGAAAGATGATTTTAAAACTGTAGAAAAGTATAAAAATGTCAAAAAGTACAAACTGTCATCCATTTTCAGTTTAAAAAATGTAAAATCAGAAACCGTATCCATGGTGATCAAGTTGACAATCATGAAAACAGGACAAAACTAGCCCATTAAACAGAAAATCACACCTAAAAAACCCCATTAATATGAGTTCATGATTAATCGTAATGTGTTAAACTTTAATAGAGATGCCTATGATATTTTGTTACAGTAATTTTGAAGTGTTAATGTCCCAGAACAGAGCTACTGCTTTGTGTAACCTTAAAATGTATGTTGTATGAGGACACAAACACTGACTGAGGTCACATGTTTTCATTTTCATTTTCCTTTAAAAAAGGGAGTGCAAACTAATTATGTTTTATGCAGTCCATTGTTAACGGAGGTGCTGCCAGTTTATCTGTTATCAAGTCAGTGCTGATCTGTTGTGCAGCCAGTTTATCTGTTATCAAGTCAGTGCTGATCTGTTGTGCAGCCAGTTAACCTGTTGTGTTGCCAGTTGTTAACTGAGGTGCAACCATTTTTACTCTTGTGCAGTGAGTTTTTAACTGTTGTGCAACCAGTTTGTCTCTTGTCTGGTCATGATTTGTTTTTAACTGGTGCAACCAGTTTATCTGTTTTATCTAATATACCCTTGAGAGTGATAATTGAAAAGTTCACAATAAATTAAGAAACTATTAAATTAAACTATTCTTTTTGAATATCTTAACAATCGTCAAAGGTAATTGTATAGGTAACAAATTATAAGGTATAAATCTTGAATAAAGCCAACCTCGAGATGCTGGTAAGACATGCTACTCACTGAGACGCCCACTCTCTCCCTCTTCCGGCGTCATCAGTCCACTCTCGCTGCCATCCAGACTGTCACCATCACACACGTCGCCGTCATCCATGCCGTCTTCAGGCCGATAACGCCCCAGGTTAAGCTGTTCCGTTTCACTACTGCTGACTTTGTCATAGCCGTACCAGCCTAACAGCTCATTCATGGTAGTCTCAGCATAGTCCTGTAACAGACAGCATTGTTAAGTTTGGCATTCATAGTGGTGCTGTAACAGATAGCATTGTTAAGTTTGGCATTCTTAGTGGTGCTGTAACAGACAGCATAGTTAAGTATGGCATTCATAGTGGTGCTGTAACAGACAGCATAGTTAAGTATGGCATTCATAGTGGTGCTGTAACAGACAGCATAGTTAAGTATAGCATTCATAGTGGTGCTGTAACAGACAGCATAGTTAAGTATGGCATTCATAGTGGTGCTGTAACAGATAGCATTGTTAAGTTTGGCAGTCATAGTGGTGCTGTAACAGACAGCATTGTTAAGTTTGGCATTCTTAGTGGTGCTGTAACAGACAGCATTGTTAAGTTTGGCATTCTTAGTGGTGCTGTAAAAGACAGCATTGTTAAGTATGGCATTCATACTGGTGCTGTAACAGATAGCATTGTTAAGTATAGCATTCATAGTGGTGCTGTAACAGACAGCATTGTTAAGTTTGGCATTCTTAGTGGTGCTGTAACAGACAGCATAGTTAAGTATGGCATTCATAGTGGTGCTGTAACAGACAGCATTGTTAAGTTTGGCATTCTTAGTGGTGCTGTAAAAGACAGCATTGTTAAGTATGGCATTCATACTGGTGCTGTAACAGACAGCATAGTTAAGTATGGCATTCATACTGGTGCTGTAACAGACAGCATAGTTAAGTATGGCATTCTTAGTGGTGCTGTAAAAGACAGCATTGTTAAGTATGGCATTCATACTGGTGCTGTAACAGATAGCATTGTTAAGTATAGCATTCATAGTGGTGCTGTAACAGATAGCATTGTTAAGTATGGCATTCTTAGTGGTGCTGTAACAGACAGCATAGTTAAGTATGACATTCATACTGGTGCTGTAACAGACAGCATAGTTAAGTATGGCATTCATACTGGTGCTGTAACAGATAGCATTGTTAAGTATGGCATTCTTAGTGGTGCTGTAACAGACAGCATAGTTAAGTATGACATTCATAGTGGTGCTGTAACAGACAGCATAGTTAAGTATAGCATTCATAGTGGTGCTGTAACAGACAGCATTGTTAAGTATAGCATTCATAGTGGTGCTGTAACAGACAGCATAGTTAAGTATGGCATTCATAGCTCTCATTGTGGTCATTCATAGTGGTCCTGTAACACATAGAAATGTTATGTTTGTGAATTTATTAACTTTCATCTCACCCTGTTATTTCACCAGAACTTCCATCACACCCTATCTGCTACTTTAACAACATCTCACCCCCATCTGCTACCTTAATTAACATCTCACCCTGTTATCTCACCAGAACTTCCATCTCACCCCATCCGCTACTTTAACTCACATCTTATCCCATCCGTTATCTCTCCATAAATTCCATCTCACCCTATCTGCTACTTTAATTAACATCTCACCCCATCATCTACCTTAACTCACATCTCACCCTATTATCTCACCAGAACTTCCATCTCACCCAATTGTCTACTTTAACTCACATCTCATCCCATCTGCTACCTTACCCTATCCTTATCACTGTGTGTAAATCTTTGTATTCCTAAAATCTATTTTCAGCTGAAAACTTAATATTGTGTCATCGGGCTGAGGGTTTCTCAATGGATTTAGACGATTCACAATTGAACAATTTGAAATAAAATCCGCGGATCAGCGGAAAATTGCCATCCCTGTTCTCCACAGTACTACTGATGAAACCCCTCTTCTACCCTGCCCCAGGTATATCAGGTGTTTGGGTCCCCTTACATCACGTAGCCCTCATGTGCATGTGCAGCTGGACCTACGTACACACAGGTGCGTGGGAGGCACTGTTCACCATTGAGGCAGACTGTCTGTGACAGTGAAAGTGTTACCTAACCCCACTCCTGGAGCTAGGAAACACCCTCCCACACCACATCCCATTTTAATTTTGCTGAATAATCTACAAAAGCGAAGATCACCAAATATGCGTGGAATGTTGTGCCATATTGCTGACCGTCGGAACTGTTATCGTATATCACACATGCAGGGTGCTATTTCTGTATGCTACATTATATGCTGCATGCAATCAGCACATGTTGTGTTCTGTTCAGGATGTTCCTATCACATTGGGCTGCCTCAACTATCCAAACAAGGCTTTTAAATCCTAACTTTGTTCTCTCAACCCTATCTCTACCTCAGCCTATGTCTCACCCAATTCCTGTCTCACCCAACTCCACCATCATCTCTTCCTTATGCCTGTTTCACCCTTACTAACACTTACTCCTCTCTCACCTGACTCTTCTCTCATCCAACTCAACCCCTGCCTCACCCTGCTCCTACATTTACCTTACTCCTTTTTAATCCCAACTCCTGTCTCACCCTTATTCTTCTCTCATCCGGATCCTGTCTCACCCAACTCCTGTCTCTTCAAACTCCTGCCTCACCATTACTCCTCTCTCATCCAAATCCTGTCTCACCTAACTTTTGTCCCACTCTCATCTAACCACCTATAGTATAACTGCATTCCCTTAGTGCCTCTGTTAAGTTCCATGTTGCATACAACACACAGACGATATTATGAGGTATACAATGGTAAACTACCTTTCTTTCTTGACTCATATTCTTTCTGGAGTTGGGAATTGTCATTAAAGTATGACACCTGATAGTTAAATGTGCAATATCATATTTAATACTGAATTACTATATTTCTTTTTTCATTTTAATGAGGATCATTAGTGTAACTACTCCATGTTTGTTGATTCTCTGTATGGTGTACAGTTTATATATATCCCACTGGTCATTACACACATTTTTTGTATGCATGCAAATTTAACATTTAAGTTTGTTTCATAGCAAGAGCATAAAGAACTGTGTCATGCCCCAAAATAGAGGCCCTCTTAAACAGATTGATTCTTGGAACTTTTTGCACTGCATCATGTCAAAGCTGAGTATAATTGCAAAGAATATGAGATTTATTATGGCTATTAATTCTTATGAATATATTTAACCAGGGGTATTGGATTACCTTTGTATTTGCCAATAGGCTCTGACATCAAGACGTTGTAAATGCCATCGATTGGTATTTAATATCCCATTTGAAATAGAAGATGGAAATCTGATCTTACACACTGAAAGTAAGTTTGGAGCCCACCCAGATATAAGAATTTTTCACTATTTCCATTTCATGGGAGGGTGGTTGGGAGTAGAACCAGGTTATCAAAGGAATAGCAACAAGATTAAAGTGCATACAGGGTGAATATACAGACAAGATTGAGGTACATACAGGGTGGATATACAGACAAGATTGAGGTACATACAGGGTGGATATACAGACAAGATTGAGGTACATACAGGGTGGATATACAGACAAGATTGAGGTGCATACAGGATGGATTTACAGACAAGATTGAGGTACATACAGGGTGGATATACAGACAAGATTGAGGTACATACAGGGTGGATATACAGACAAGATTGAGGAGCATACAGGGTGGGTATACAGACAAGATTGAGGAGCATACAGGGTGTGTATACAGACAAGATTGAGGAGCATACAGGGTGGGTATACAGACAAGATTGAGGTACATACAGGGTGGATATACAGACAAGATTGAGGTACATACAGGGTGGATATACAGACAATATTGAGGTACATACAGGGTGGATATACAGACAAGATTGAGGTACATACAGGGTGGATATACAGACAAGATTGAGGAGCATACAGGGTGGGTATACAGACAAGATTGAGGAGCATACAGGGTGGATATACAGACAAGATTGAGGAGCATACAGGGTGGATATACAGACAAGATTGAGGTACATACAGGGTGGATATACAGACAAGATTGAGGTACATACAGGGTGGATATACAGACAAGATTGAGGTACATACAGGGTGGATATACAGACAAGATTGAGGAGCATACAGGGTGGATATACAGACAATATTGAGGTACATACAGGGTGGATATACAGACAAGATTGAGGTACATACAGGGTGGGTATACAGACAAGATTGAGGTACATACAGGGTGGGTATACAGACAAGATTGAGGAGCATACAGGGTGGGTATACAGACAAGATTGAGGAGCATACAGGATGGGTATACAGACAAGATTGAGGAGCATACAGGGTGGATATACAGACAAGATTGAGGAGCATACACGATGGGTATACAGACAAGATCGAGGTACATACAGGGTGGATATACAGACAAGATTGAGGTACATACAGGGTGGATATACAGACAAGATTGAGGAGCATACAGGGTGGGTATACAGACAAGATTGAGGAGCATACAGGGTGGATATACAGACAAGATTGAGGAGCATACAGGGTGGGTATACAGACAAGATTGAGGTACATACAGGGTGGATATACAGACAAGATTGAGGTACATACAGGGTGGATATACAGACAAGATTGAGGTACATACAGGGTGGATATACAGACAAGATTGAGGTACATACAGGGTGGATATACAGACAAGATTGAGGTACATACAGGGTGGATATACAGACAAGATTGAGGAGCATACAGGGTGGGTATACAGACAAGACTGAGGAGCATACAGGGTGGATATACAGACAAGATTGAGGAGCATACAGGGTGGGTATACAGACAAGATTGAGGTACATACAGGGTGGATATACAGACAAGATTGAGGTACATACAGGGTGGATATACAGACAAGATTGAGGTACATACAGGGTGGATATACACACAAGATTGAGGAGCATACAGGATGGGTATACAGACAGGATTCAGGTACACACAGGATGGGTATACAGACAAGATTGAGGAGCATACAGGATGGGTATACAGACAAGATTGAGGAGCATACAGGATGGGTATACAGACAAGATTTGGGTGCATACAGGATGGGTATACAGACAAGATTTGGGTGCATACTGGGTGGTTATACAGACAAGAGTGGGCTACATACAAGATGGGTATACAGACAAGATTGAGGTGCATACTGGGTGGTTATATCGACACTGATGGCAATGACATTGGGATGA